CAGAACAGAGCCTTGAGGAACTCCGTACGACAATGCAACAGGCGCCGAAGAGGTAGTTCCAATTCTAACATACTGCCATCTGACAGACAAGTATCTTTTAAATCACTTATGCACGGCAGAAGATACGCCTAGGTTTAGAATTCTTTGAAGAAGCATGTTGTGATCAACACTATCGAAGGTTTTCGACATATCCAACAATATAACTATAGATAACTGTTCATTATCCATAGCTTCCAACAACATGTCTGTCACTGCAATGTTAAGTGTTTGGGTAGAACGTTTTTTCCGGTTACCACTTTGATGCTCCGTTAATAATCTGTGGTTTGTTAGATGTTCTGAATACTGATTCAGTGCGACTTTGTCGCATATTTTTGACAAACTATTTATCTTATCGGCACCTGGAGCTTTGTTTGATGGACTATTTAAAATAATTGTTCTAACTTCATCAGGTGTGGCTGTTCTAAGGGACCGGCCATTATTTATGGAAGGGGGGAGGGGGAAAATGAGGGGGGTGGGGCATATGTATAAATAAATTACTAGAAGGGGGGGCTATTAATTTTTTTCAAGAAAATGAGGGGAGGTTGGCAATTAAATTTGAAGGAATTTGCTTAATAAGCATGGTATCTATTTGGTTGTAATTGCGACTAAATCATGGTCACTGATGTGAAATAGTCAGGATTTATCTTGTCTTCTGTGTGCTGTATGCAAATCAGTCTTTACTGATTGCAGAGATAAATTGACAATGTATTATTACATCAGCTATCTTGATGTGGTTAAATACATTTAAGCAAGGTTAACAGTGGATGTGTTATGCAGGCCACATCCACTGATGGGGGTCTGTGACGTCATATCGATTAAAGGGGGTTGTTTCGCGCCTTGTGATCAGTGTTTCGGTGTGGGTATTCATACTGCCATTGTATGCTTTGCCTAGCTGCAGCAAGTTTAGCGTCTAGATACCTTTCCCCTACCCACCCCACCCACCCATGTTTATTCTAGAGGATTTTATCTGGTAGTACTAGTATGTCATTTTATTTTATATAATTTTTAATCTCACTAAAAATAGGATGTATAGACCACTATACATTATATTTTGTTTCCACTGACTTGTCAGTGTGACTGGTGCCGGAGGTATGCCTTGGCAGAATAGCCAGAATTGTCATGGCCATCTCCTTTTGCTGCTAATATTACTGATTGTTACTCTCATTGCTACGCAGCTGCTATGGCAATACTTTGACTTTGTGCCATCAAATCTAGTTACAGCCTTGGACCACAAACGGCACCTGCCACCAAACTCTAATATTAATTCTCTGCCGTTAAACATGGTTACAATCGCCCAGACCAAATGGAAACCTGATTTTAGAGTTATATATGAAAATACCCCTCTTTTATTTATAATTTTCGATTCTGCTAATATATATTTTTGGTCGACGTTAATGTCTTGTCAGCTCCATATTCTTATTTAATTAATAATTAACATTATAACGCCTGGGTATCCCCATTTGTCGAGTAGAAATGAAAATGGGGGTCAAAGAAAATTATTCTAATATGTAGGGGGGGTCATCAATAAATTTCTGCTCTTTTAAGGGGGGCTTTCAATTTTAAAAAATTAGGAAAGAAAAAATTCCCCTCCCCCTTTCCATAAATAATGACCGGTCCCTAAATTCAAACAGATCAAGAGAAGATCGGTGTCTTGCAGGTGGTAAAGCAGTTGCTATCTGAATGTTGTTAACTTCCGCAAGTCTCTTGACCTTGTCGGCTGCAATCTCGATCCCGACAGAAGCAAAATATTCATTAAATTCATTGGCTAATTTTTTGTTGTCTTTCTGGTAAACGGGTTTTTCTGAATCTTTGCTCGGCAGACACCCCCTAATCACTTTCCACATAGATCTTGAATTACCTTTATATTCCTCAATTTGATTCCGGACAAAGTTGGACTCTGCTGCTCTTAAAGATGTTTTTATAGAATTCCTAAGTTGCCTATAGACGTCCCAATCTTCCGCGTTACGTGAGAGGCGAAAAATTATCAGCTTTTTGTCTCTCAGTTTCATCGTGCACTTTAATTCTTTATTAATAAACTGATTAAGTTTGCCTTTACACCCGTTTTCAAAATTACGCGACCTCTCTGAAAAATACTCTTACTTCAAATGTCAGTTTTATGTCACAGGAACTGCTAAAAATAGCAAACGTAAACAAACTGTCAAAAGACATTTTAAACCGTATTTAATATCAAAACTGAACAAAAATGAGTTCGATAACTTAGATATATAAACTAAAGCACAATATAAGTCATCACAACAGAAATATGTGCCGTGAATGACTTTTAAAGTTTGAAAAATAACAATTTATCCTCGAATTTAGCTGTCAGGATAAAACACGCGCGCTAGACTATAACGGTGATGTTATGATTTTGTTGTGCTTAAATTTTGCAATAATTCTCACTAAAATATCTTGAAAATCATTGTAAGCCTGTTTATATAAAGCATACAAAGCATATACATCGACAAGGAACCGCAAAACTCAAAGTTTGAACTTCGTGACCGAATGACATAAAACTGACATGTCAACTCTAGCATTTTCGTCCTTGGTCGCGTAATTTTGAAAACGGGTGTAATTCTGATGTGTTTGATAGGCGCGTGTTTGTTCAGAGTATTTATGAACAATTGATTGAAATGATCAATTTTCTCATTTACATCACTAATGCGATAGGTTTCATGAAACGGAAGTTGAGACAGTTCTGCCTTGAAACTCTGGGAGTTGTAGTTCTTAAAACTCCTCACATCCTTGTATTCAGGTCGAGGCTTATCAGCTCTAAGTTTAAGTATACAGTATATCATAGAATGATCGCTAATACCAATGTCAACAACCCCGCTACTTTTAACTTTAGAGGAGGACGAAATCATAATAACGTCAAGTAATGAACTTGTTTGAAATGTAATTCTCGTTGGATCTTTAATGAGTTGTGTCAGGTGTAGTTCGGAGCAAGTATCTAATAATATTTTAGACTCATAACAAGATGTTTTAAGGAGATTGCAATTCATATCGCCCAGAATAATGATCACTTTTCCTAGTAACAAAGCCTCAATGAATTTAGGTTTAAGTTCATCCAGTATACATGTAACCGGGCAGTCAGGTGGTCTATAAGTAACGCAAGCGATCATAGATTTGTTTTTATTCACTTGTATTTGTAACCAAAGTTGATGGAAACCTACTGGAGAAATATACGAGAGATTTTTCAAAACTTTTGTCTTGAAGTCATTAAGGACGTAAATACATACGTCGCCACCTTTTTGTGCTTACAATCAAGTCTGTATATTATGTTGTATTCCTGAATTTTTACCTCGGCATTAGTCGTGGACGTATTTAGCCATGTCTCTGATAATGCCAAGATATCTATTTTCTCGTCAACGACTAGTTCTCGTACTTGAATTAAATGATTTCTGTTTCTAATTGACTGCACGTTGAGATGAGATAACTTTATTTTGTTAAATGAATGTTTTTGGTTATTATTACGATGTTTGGGTTGACTGCATGCGAAATGTTTACAGATATTGTATTTTGAGGATTACACCTCATCTGCCTAATCGTCTGCCATCGCGGAGACATTCTGATGGGAATTTGAGCCATTATACATACGTTGAAAGGATTCCCTCTGGGGGGCTGTCGTTTCTACCGTCAGTGGATGTTAGTTTCCACGGTTTGCATTTCACAAACTTGGGCCAGAAGGTTTCGTTTTCAATCAAGGGACATACATTTGCTTGGACATGAAGTTTAGCAGAAATTGAACCTTTCCGTTTATTTTTAAAAAGAGATAAGTAAGTAGGTATTACCTTTCGCTTTTCCAAATGGCATAGAATATTCTGATCTTTAACATTCTCAGCAATCCCGGACAAGAAGAACTTTTTAATTCTATTTCGCTTTCGTTTAACCCCAATAAATAATTCATTTTCCGAGCTGCAGGGACTTGCATAATATTGTCTGTATTATCCGTACTGGGTTTGCCATTAATCCTGTTAACAGGGGGAGGAGATTTTGCCACTTGAGCATAGGTCCTTGGAGATCTGGATTGTTCATCAATACTTCCGTCTTTACTTGCGCCAGTACTTGACTCGTTTAAATTAATATAGGACATATCATTATCATTAGATTCAGGAACGTTCTCTTTCATAAGCGAAATGCGATCATTGTTATTGTTATTGTTATTGTTATTGTTATTGTTCATAAGCGATATTAAATTGATATAGGACATATCGTTATCATTAGATTCAGGAACGTTTTATTTCATAGGCGAAATGCGATCATTGTTATTGTTATTGTTCATAGGCGAATCTGTCAATTCTTCCAAGACAAAGGAACTTTTAGTATTAGCAAAATTTGCATACTCAGACTGCTTAACATCAGATTTTTCTGTGTTTTTACTAAAATTACTTCATTTCCTTGCACTCGAGAAATTACTGAGACGCTAAATCATGAACAGACTCTGCAAGCGATTGAATTATTTCGCAGTTTAACATTTGGCCTGCTTTGAGACTTTTAATATCATCAAAATATGCATCGGTCGTCATGCTTGATTGTGCTTGCGATGGCGGGGTTGGCAAATTTAAGTTATCTTTAAGCATTACCTCGCAAATCTGTTTCTTGATTTCCTCTGATCTCTCACCATTAATGGTTAATACATGTTTATTCTTTCGCCACACCATAGTTGAATTACCAAACGTAGGCAGCTTCTTGCCCCCCCCCCCCCAGGCTGTGACCATTCGACATCTAATTTGAGAACTTCGCTCGAGAATTGTTCAAGAGAAACAAAATCGCCTGTCCAAGCAAGGCTTATATTCTCGATAAAACCTGACATTCTATCAGTCTTCTATCATTTGTATATTTGTACCAATGGTGCATTAAAATTGTTCACAAAGTATTTTAAAATTAATATAAAATTATCAGAGAGCACAAAATACACGTCCGCGTTATTCGGGAGTATATTCTGATCTTCGCATGGTTGAAAAATCTTGCAAGTATGGCCATAATTTCAGCTCCAGAGTACAAAATATGGTCAATTAGTATACTTTATACAGTGAATAACAGGTATGTTGACGAGGAGCTCGGGAACACATTCAGCCGGATCGTATTGTTCCGAAAGTTTAGCAAGTAATATATTGTGTAATTTGGTAATGTTTCAGATGTTCGCATGTTGGAATTTACAATCGTAAATTGCTAAAATTCTTAATTTTGTGTATTTTTCGTTTAAATCTTTTATGAAAGACGCCATTTTGGATTAATTTCTAAGTACCCAATGCGCATGCTTTAACTCCACAGTGTATGAAATTTCTAGCCATGTGATACTTTTCTGACACTGAACTTATGAAAGGTAATGCACGTTACGAGTAAAGGTACTAGGGGTTACACGTAAAGGTAACACGAGGCTCATATGTCAATCTTTACGTTGGATATCTTATAACGAAGTCATTCTGCAAAAACGAGCGAGGGTTCGCGACCACAAAACTGAAACAATGATCACCAAAACGGAAAGATAAATATAACAAATTAAAAAATATTACTTTGAAACAATGAAATAGATATTCGAAGAAATTCTTGTAATAAAAGTCACCAAATTTGCTTTTTAAAACTTACAGTATTTGAGACTTGTAGAATTTGGGGCTCGTTTATAATTCATGTCCACTTTACGTGCAATGAAATGCATAAAAAATATGATCATTTTTTTCAAATATTTCCATATTTCTCCGAGCTATCCTAATTTCAAATTTTCTAATTATTCTGAAGAATTAAAAGGCACTAAAACGACATATTGAACTTACCTAACTTGGCATTGTACGCAACCCATCCACTACATCCGCACACCAGTGTTATTGGGTTAAGAGGACCAAGTTGATCAGATTTCAGGTTTTGACCTGGAGTAAGGTTACAGGAAAGATTTGGATTGCAGTTGAGGTTGTTAGTATTTAGGAAGAGGCTGGGTCTTGGAGTAGGCATGATATCAAATTCATGGCTGCTGTCTGGGTTGGATGAGACTTGTGATTGAGAAAGAGGGTTTAGGGTTAAGTCATCTGGGTTATTGCTACGAATATGCTCACGGCTTGTGTTAAGACCAGGTGTGGAAAACAGTGATGCTAAGATATAAGCTTGAGGTTGATGGTTAAGGATTGGGTCCGGATTTTTCCAATGCAGACGTATCCCGGTTTTTCTGAGGAATACTTTCGCATGGACGCGAAGATCTTTATTTTGCCAAAAATACACCAAAGAATTGATTGTGGAGTTGCTAAGCATGAACAAGAAGGCCCATTTTTTGTTCATTGCCTCAATGTACTTATCATTTATCTTAAATAAATTGAACGCCATGTCGACAACTGCCATATTACAGATTTGAAAATATAGCACAACAATGAAACAGGCTTTGGCTAGTTTTAGTTCCTTCTCAAATCGTGGCCTCTTCTTTTTTGTTTGATTTTTGAATTCGTTGGAGATGCAGTTACCAGGGTAATTCGAATTCTTAAAACGAGAGCAACAAATGCTTGTATAGACAAACACAGTCATGGCGGCGAGAAGGATTGACGTTGCACCAATAAGATAACGGTATTCCCGTACGAATCGTAAGGTTATAATAGCGAATATAGTTTGTAGCGCACAGACTACAAAAAAATATCTCAAGATTCGAGTTTTGGTTACTTCTGCTCGGTGGAACAATGGATGCAGAATGCCCATATATTTTTCGAAGTTCAGCATTGATAACGAAGTCATCGAATAGAGGTAAAAAAGACCTAACAACATAAGCATTGCATAGGCTACATCAAAATTTGGAGATCCCAGCATTTCGCTCACTAGATGTGCAATAAACATTGGAAATATGATCACACCAACTGCAAGATCGATGACTGATTGAACCATAATTGCGAAATAGCAAACCTTTTGGGAGAGTGAACGAATTGTCCAAATTGTTCCCACTGTAACAGTGTTAAGAAAAACCGTGGTCAAGAACAGACAAATGCAGCAAACTAAAGTAGCGACGTGGATAATTTTCTCTGTGCCAGATGAGAAGTTTTTAATCAACGTTGCTTTGTTAGTTAGGATGTAACAGGTTACGAATAATGTACTATTTTCGGGTGTGGCGTTCATCTTTCGATCTGGCTCGTGTTGCAAGTTTTTGTAACAGATTAATGAAAAATGCCAAAAAAACATGCTTTTATTGACCAAATTCTACCAAGCCAGGTGCTATAGTTTATAATACTTCAATTTAATTCCCCAGAAATTTACACGACAATTAATGACATGATAATTATTTTTTAATTAGAACCCGCAGTAAAAGAGCCGCTTTAAATTTATTGTCGAGTTTAAATGCATTTCTAAATGAAAATCTCATTTCTATAAGGCAATTTTAAGCTAAATTCCACTTCCATGCAACTGCGAAATTGAATGAAAAACTCCGATATCGTATATATGTTGAATTCTTCGTTCCTTACCAAGATAGGAGCACATACGCATATGCGCAAAAAGATTGGGAGGGGGGCCAAAATTTGTACGACATTGACGAAAATGCAGAGCCGCCGAGAGGGGGGGTGGCAGGGGGGGGGAAATTGCCCCGGGCCCCGAGGTGCTGGAGACCCCTGAAAAATTTTTGTTGGGCCCATGGCCAGTCTTTTTTCTGTGTTAAATATTTCCGCGCAAAGGACAACATATCTGTTTTATTGGGCTAAGTACCGAAATAAGGCATAAAAAATGAGATAAAGTCCCTGGAAAGTGCGTACAATCTACTCGTCCGGAAACATTTTTGACCCCTAAAATGGTACACTGACCGAAATTTTTTTGGCGACGGGGGGGGGGGGGTTGTTGTCCGGAAAAAAAATTTTCCGGAAAATTTTTTTGCAAGAAGGGGGCCCCCAAAAAAAGTTTTGCCAGGGGCCCCCGCCAACCTCTCTGCGGCACTGCGAAAATGGCCCGAGTTTATCATGAGTTTATGTATAGATTCATAGAAGGTAAATGAATGAACAGATCTCCTAAACATACGCGCGGAAATAAAGTCAACCTTAAAACGATAAGCGAAATATATATAACTATTTACGAGTATTAGATTTCATTTTTTTTTTGGAAACGTCAAAAAACTCATCACTCTATAATTGCATGCAATTCGATAACTCAACATTAAGTTAATGTCATGACAAAATACATTATACCGATGCGAACAGACCTAGCAATGACCTGATTTCTTAAAACTAAACATCCTCCCCCTCACACACACAGACACACTCCATTGTTCGCCTATGCAGGTGCAAGTCGTTTTTCATGCTTGCATCTAAATTATATTATACCCTGCAATATACATGAACTTTCATGATTACTCTATTTTTTTGTTATTACTTTCCAAGATGGAATTTAATAAACATTTCTGTTCAGATTTTGACTATACTTTAACTCTTTTTCGTTTGGTGCTGAAATAACCAGGTCGAAACCGACCTGGTATTTTGCAGGTTCATATTTTCGGTTCAGTGCATGCTATATAGATGAAAATAACACCATTCGATTCAGTGAAAAAATTCCTATCGATAGATATAATAAAATGGCAACATTATAGCGATTTACGACCTTTAGAGGGCAAGCGGTGTCATATTTCACTAGATTACACAATA